GGTGTTTTTGTTGTTGTTATTAGAAGTAAATCCATAATCAGTGGTGGGAGAGCTTTGATTTGAGTATTTGCATGTGGATCAATCATGTCCAGGTTATTTTCTCTCTCGTATCATCTTGAAGCTTCTCTACTGCACAACAAGGAGAGAAAACAGTTTAACTCAATGATCTCTGAGCTTTCCAGCCCTCTTCAGGCTTATTCTCTCAGAGCCGACAAAACTTACACAGTTTTCGGCACAATAGAAGGCTCAGGCCGTTCGTAGGGCTTTGATAGGAACAGGTTTTGCTCCCCAGCTGCAAACCTGCCCGTTTCTCTCCCTTTAAGGACCCCACAGCTGCACGGCCCCGCTCTCTCGGCCGGCTCTGCTCACCACGCGCTGCGGAGCGGCGGCCCGGCGCGATGCTGCGCGCTGCAGCCCCCCCTGCTGGCCGCGTCGCGTTACTGCAGGCCGAGCCGCCCGCGCCGCTGCAGGGAGGAAGCCGTGCGAGAGCGCTTCGACTTCCTCGTCGGTTTTGCCCATAAGCGGCAGTGTTAGTGGGCCATTAATTTGTTTTACTGCGTGCAATTAGTAAAAAGAGGATCTCGAGTGTGCGAAATGAGTCTTTGGGTTGGATTCGCGCGTCACCTGTTGACCCAAACGGGTCTTTCGTTTGGAAAACAAGGGTAAATGGGCTCCTGCTGATTGAGAGGAGGTCCCACACTTTGCTTTTGACCTTACTGCAATGAAGTAAACCTGTCCTGCTCACAGAATGCAGCATAAACAAAGAGGAGTTATTTTCTGCATGTAGTTCCCCCCCCCGCCCCCAAAGAAAACATTTATTAAGTGGGATAAACACTTCAAGATCTATAGATAAGGATTCTTTTTTGTGGCTGTGAAGAGCGCTGCTGTTGTTGGTATGGTTGGGGAGGGGAGGAAGGCCACGTGTGCACACTCAGATGTATGCAGCTAAAAGGAACTTAGGATCTGAGTGCAGAAACTCTGCGTGCACCAAAACCCTCAGCTGTTGGTGTATTAATCACAGGGACAAATCACACAAATCCATATGGGTGCTTAGGAGCTGATGAAGCCTTTAAGGCATTCAAAAAAAAGAAACCTCATACATTTCCCAGCGCATAAATGTGTTTTAAAAGGTACGTAATTTATAATAGCAACGTTGACGGAGCTTTAACTACACTGCAAAAGCTAAACTGTAATATATTTGCGTGTGAGCTGTGCTTACTGTGTGGGTGCCTCTCTGCTGATGTGTTTCCATGTGATTCTCTGTAATTTCAGCGCTGATTGTAGTCAGGGATATTAAACCATAGTATTGATAATACTTTTACAGCTCTGCTTTGGGAAATGTGTTCCTGCTAAATTAGTCCCTGAAAATGTAGAGATATTAACAGCGCCGAGCATGGAGGCAGACGGGAGTTGGATCAGAGGCCTTTATTTTGTAGTGTGATGCTGAAGAGTCATTACTTTAAAGCAGGAACTTCGTTTCCTTGAATATTAAGTGGAGTTGGGGATTTTTACTTCCGCTTTGGTGTGAAATTCCTTATCATAAAGTGTAAATGGAACCCGCTGGGTATTGATTTTTCTTGGGCTCTAAAAAGATGCTTAATGAAACCCTGGGTACCTAAAGGCCTCCAGTGCATGCCAAGTGAGCTTAATTGCAGTTCCCTTAACAAGCTACTGGAGATGCTCCCCTTTCTACAAAGCAGCCCTTTCACCTATTTAAGTCCCTTTTCTTTCTGTCTGTTGTGATGCTTTAATTCACTTTTTGAATATATATGAAGGACGAAGTACAGCTTAAAGAATCACAGAATGCCCTGGGTTGAAAAGGACCACAGTGATCATTTAGTTCCAACCCCCTGCTATGTGCAGGGTCGCCAACCAGCAGCCCAGGCTGCCCAGAACCACATCCAGCCTGGCCTTGAATGGCACCAGGGATGGGGCATCCACAGCCTCCTTGGGCAACCTGTTCCAGTGCCTCACCACCTTCTGGGGGAAAAACTTCCTCCTAAGAGCTTTCTGCCAGCTCCCAGCCCTGCTCTGCTAGAGCTGCAGGACTCATTTCCAGCACCACAAGCACAAAGTGCAGCTCAGATGGCCCTTCCTTGCAGCCAGCAGCACTTGTGCTGCTTCCTAATCGAGTTCTTTGCGTTCCCTTCTTGCTAATATCTTTGCTTGACCTTCCAGCAGACAACCTGCTGAGCTCCAAGCAGGCCCTGCTCAGTGCCCACCAGCACGGATGCATGGGCCTGGCATCCCAACCCTGGGGACACGATTTGTCCCTCTGCAGTTTGCCCAGTAGAGGCACACGAAAAACATCTGTGTTAATTACACACAGTGCCTTCAAGCCTCTCTTTCTGCTGCTGTGCAAGAAGCTGTTTCCACAGAAAACATCAGGCAGCTGAATGATGGCTTTCCTCCCTTCCCCTTTTCTCCCTTCCCCATCTTTTCTATGTTCCTATGTTCCATGACAATCACAAAGCAAGAAAAGGCACTGAACACACTCAGGGGTAGCCAAGCAGTGCCAGGGGACCCCAGGATGAGGTGTAAGCCCAAGGAACCTCTCGCTCTTCCCCCTCAGAGTCAGTCTTGCAGTTGTTCATGCTCCAAAGCACGATGAGTTGGGGGGGTTTTGCTGAGGATCTGAGTGGGAAGATAGAGCAGCTCTGCGTCAGGTGCAGGGTAATTATTTGCTGGAGTTCTGTGCTATTTGGTTTTTATTCCCCGTGTTTTCATTAAAAGCTAATGAGTTTTTTCTTTTTTTTCCCTCTGTTCAAAACAATAGCTTGGCCCCTGACAAGTTGTGGGTTATTTTTTCTGCTTGGACTCAACTAGCTGTTGCTGCTCCATAAACTTAATGGAAAAGGAGATGAAAGCACGAAAGTTTGTAAAACAAATCCTTGTTCCCTTCCTTTGTAACTCGCACCGAGTGGCTGCGTGCAGAGCATTTGTTGATCTTTGGTGTTGCAGCTCTAAAGCAGTTTAAAAATATTCCTAATGCTAAAGCAAACAGAATGCCTTTGTGTTGCAGTAGCTCATGGTTTGGAGCCCTGCTGGGCTTGGCACTGCCTTGTATGTACATTCTGCAGCCTCTGCATTCTTGAGTGGGTTACTGCAATGTGTGAGAGCCTGGTGTGCGCTCCTGTATGCAGGAAGTGAGCCTGCTGCAAGGAAGAGCACATCCTATCAGTGGTGACAAGCCCTCCTCTATGTTATTTCACATCTGGGAAACGTTCTGCCTTAACAGAGACCTGTGGCTTGACTCTTGCACTGGGTTTATGCATGCAACAGCTACTCCTGACGTTCAAGGCAGTGACTTATTCTTGCAAGTAACTTTGCTGCCCAGGTCCTTGTTCCAAGCAATGCGCTGCAGCCACGCTTTGATGCATGAGCTGCTCCTCCCCAGAGTGGCTGCACGGTGCTGTGCTGCCTCCTGCTACTCAGAAACCATAAACAGTTTGCTCGTTATCACAATAATGCTGCACCTGTATCTCGTTATAGGGGAACACCTGTTACCTCAGTGTTGGCTTGAAAAGCCTGGAGCACTACAGTGCAGTTTGCTTGGTTGTTTTAAGGGATTAAGGCTGAGTGGGTTTGCAGGAGCTGTTTTGCAGTGCTGCTATTATTGCAGTGCTGCTAATAATCAGGCCTACAACACTGCAGCATGGCAGGTGGGAAGGCTGCTCATTAGAATGCATGTGTGTAGTGCAAGAATGGAAGATCTCTGCAGTACAGCTCCCACTTGTGTGTGTCCATGCAGCAGGAATTGCAGCCTGCCCTTTGGGGTTGGGGACCTGCAGCTTTTTCTTCTTGGTGTGACAAGAGGTGAGATGCAGATACTGAATGATGCACTTTCCAAAAGTTATTTTCATAGAATCCTAGAATGGCCTGGGTTGAAAAGGACCACAATGCTCATCTGGTTCCAACCCCCTGCTGTGTGCAGGTCACCAACCAGCAGCCCAGGCTGCCCAGAGCCACATCCAGCCTGACCTTGAATGCCTGCAGGGATGGGGCATCCACAGCCTCCTTGGGCAACCTGTGCCAGTGCCTCACCACCCTCTGTATGAAGAACTTCCTCCTAATATCCAACCTAAACCTCCCTATTTTCTGAATATATATATATATTTTTCCTTAATCAGACTGCGTGCTGGGATGGCTGCTGGAAGCAAATAAGCACAGAGCTGGAAAGAGTGCTGCTTCCTCAGTGCATTTCTTGGTGGAGGGAGGAGGACACCCTCCTGTTCCAGCCCTTCATTACCTTTTCATCAGTGCTTGATTCAAACTGTAGGGCACAGTTTCTGTGTTTGCTAAGATAAACCTTGTTTGGAACTTAGATTTTTTTTCTTCCTGTTTGAAAGCAATTAACATCAGCTGAAAACTCACCTTTGGTGCTGTTTGCTGTGTGCTGAATGAGGAGCCAGCTGTCTTTACCTCTGTTATCAGCAGTCTGGGCTGTGTGTATTCAGGAAAAAAAAAAGGCAAAAAAAGTTGAAAGATGGCTTTTTTTGCTTTGTTTGAGCTCAGCAGTCTTTTGTCCTCCATGCAGCCTACATGTGCTCCACTTACATTAAAGTTTCATGTTAACATCTTTTCCTGTTGTAACTGAGTGCTTTCTGCATGAAACCCAGCGTTGGTAACAATACAGGATTCCTCATTGTAGTGAAAGGGGTGATAGGATTCCATGATCTCCTTTTTACAGGTGGATGCTGAGTGCAAGAGCATTGAATGGCACAGGCCTTGGGGCCAGGCTGCCAGAAGCTTAGCTTTCCAACCTCATCCTTGTGTGCCCTCCAACTCTGTACATACACAACGTGGATTCTATTGCAGCACAAATAAGCTGCCTTGGCCCTGAACGCTTCATCCAGCCTTATTACCCACCAAAGTGAGTTTGGGGTTGGTCGAGGACCTCAGTGGAAGGTTGGAAATGGGAAGAAACCCTTCTCAGTGTAGGAAATACGATTCGGATTTGGCAGTATCTTCACTAAAATGAAGCTCTGCTCTCTTTCCAGGAGAGAATCAGCACGATGCTGGCTTTGGGCAGGACAGTTCTGATGAAAATCAGAGCTGGAGTTTGGCCCCTTCCGTGACATCTGAAGTCTCCCTGCCATTGGACCTGCAGGATGATGGTAAGTCACTGCTAGCCCTTAAAAGTCATGTGAAGAAGGTGGAAATGGTGTGACTCGTATCTCATCCATCTGATAACACTGGAGGTGTTGGTTTTTATTGCCTGATGCCTGTTTTATCAATGCTGAGAAAACGTTACAGCAATCCTCAATTGAATGCAGCACTGCTGAAGCTCAGGGCATTCTGTGATCATCCTGGAGCAAATTGGAATTGGTTCTTCTGTGTTTTGTATGGGCAACAGTGATGGGAAAGAGCAGAAATTTGACAAGTGGTGGTGTTTTCCAAAATTAAAACACAACTTCTGGGTGCTTTTCTTCTTGGGTGCTCATCCTTTATGCTTCAGAGGGGTCACGTTGTCTTCCCATAGCTTCTTTCCTTCCATCTTATGAAAATTAGGCTCATTTCATAGAATCATAGAATGGCTTGGGTTGGAAGGGACCTCTAGGATCATCAAGCTCCAACCCCCCTGCTGCATGCAGGGCCACCAAACTCCACATCTGATACTAGACCTATATGCACTCTATATACAGCTCATAGATCAAACACCTTGATAGAGGTCATCTGAAAGATTTTGTTTTAATTTCATTACATTCCTACTAAAAATACTGAATCCATCTCTTCTCTATTTGAGATATAACAGAGATGTTTGAGATATAACAGAAATAATCATCTCAAATAGAGACATTTAAATCATCTCTGTTTGAAAAGCCTTTTTTGGGTCCTTCTAGTGGTTGGGAGTTTGGAGCTCTGTCTTCCCAATAGCATAGAAGCTCTCCCAACTGAGCAGGGGAGGTGAGCTGGCACACTGAGACCAAGGGAATATTCCAGAGCATTGAGTGCCAGACAGAGGTTTCCTGAGCAAAGAGTTGCTGTGATGTTCTCCTCTGCTTGCGAGCAATGCTTTAGGGCTGATGGATTTGTGCTCTGCTATTGAAATTGGAGCCTACAGAGTGGAGACAGTTCTGTCTTCTCTGGGGTTATCTGTGGGCCCCAGTGAAGGCTTGATTGCTTTGGTCTCAGGTTCTCAATCTCCTCCTTCCTACAGATCTTGTTTCCTCCTCCTCTTTCACTTCCCGTGCACTTTCCCCAATGCTCTCTTTTTCCCCACTCCTCATCCTTTTTCCCTTTCATTTTCTCTGCTTCTTTCCCTATTCTTCTCCACCTCTTCCTGCTCCCATTCATTCTTTCACATTCACTCCCACTCTCATTAGTGAATTGGTAGTCATCAATCAAGAGCACAGAGCAATGAGGATTTATTTGGGATGAGGCCATAAGAGCTGATGGGCACCAAATTTAGTTTCCTTGTGCTGTACAAAGCACCAGGCTTATCTGTCACAAGTATTGATTCATGCTATTAAAAATGGCTTCATCGAGACCGATTAGAGACAGGGTTGGTCTGATAGTTGGGAAGAGAGGTGTGGAATTTGGGTTCAGCTCCTTGAAGGCATCAGAAATGATGCAGCGTGCCGAGGGAGAGCGTGAGATAGGGATAATGAACGTTGGGGCTAATTGGGGCATGAAAGGGTGCTGAGGAGCTCAGCCTCATCAGGTGAGCAATGTCTTCACGAAGTCTAGGCTTTCTTCCTGGCATGTTTATTAAGCTTGTCTGAGAAGGTATTTGCTTTGCTAACTTGGAGCGGTGGTTTTTGGCAGCCCGAAGGGGCAGAGTTTGACATAACACTTGTGAGGTATGCAAACACTTGGCACCCCTGGAGATCTTCAGACGCAGATGAGATGCCAGGCTCGATGGAAGGCCGCCCAAGTGGGGGTGAATGGCCAGGAGGAGGTGGATAAGAGAGAGAAAAATCGCATGCAACAAAAAGAAAGGGGGGAAGAAACTGGCTTTGAGTGCAGTTACATTGAAATGAGGTGTTGGCTCCTGGGAGTTGATAAAAGCACTGAATGTCAGCGAATTATGGGCCTTGTGTGTGTTCATTCTAGATGAAAGTTGGACAGTTTTGGCTGATTGGATTCAGACTGTTGGCAGTCTGGAACAGTAAGGCTGAAGGAAAAGAAAAGCTAAATTCTGGGTGATCTTTTATGGTCCATTCCAACCCAAGCTATTGTATGAACTCCCCAGTGTTATTAATTCAAGGCTTCAGAGGAAACAGAGCCCTCTGACTGGGCTGATGCTCTTTGCTGCAAAAAACAGGGGAGTTTGGGGGCAGCAAAGCCACCGCTGTTCACTTTCATTCTGCACAGACTTCTCCTTCCTTGCTCTGAACTCGTGTTGGGAATCAGAGATCCTTTCAAGCTGTCTCTGGAGGGAGCAAGAGGGACTGTGCGAGTTGGGGATGACTTTACTCAATGAGGCATGGCCCTGCTCTGTAGGATTGTCCCTAATGAGTGATTAAGAAGCTAATGTTTGTACAGTGCTGGGAGGCTGCGAAGCTCAAAGCAGAAGCACAAAGTACTGCCATAATGAGAAGTATTTCTGATGAGACACTTCCCACGTAATGTACTCTGCTCAGACCACGGCGGACTTTTCAGAAAATATTTTCTTTTAAATGGATAGATTGCTCAGTCTGCCAGTGCTCTGTGATTTAGTTTTCCTGAGCGTAAGGTATCGCTTCCTCAGGGGCTGGAGAAGGCTGCAGCTTTAACATTTAGCACTTTTAGATATTGCTTTATCGGTTTTGTTTGTTTGTTCTCTTTTTTTCTTTTCTTTTTTTTCTTCCCCTCGGCTCTTTAGCAGCGCTGCTCCCATCACAACAAAGCCAGTGATGCTTTACTGCAGGGACACTGAGGCAGCAGCGAAATGACTCGCCCCCATGTCAGAGCATCACATGGAGCTGGGGGTTGTGGCCGCTGCAGCCCCTGTGCTGCTGGTGTCACCAGGAGAGGAGCAACCATATATTGGCATAACAGAGGTGCGTGTTAGGAAGGGAGCATAACTCACAGTGACAGGAGTGTGCTTTACGGGTTCTGTTAGGCATGGTTTCCGTGGTAAGAAATCTCGGTTCTGGCTTGCAAGATTTTTTCCATCGTGTCTGTGGGCAGACAAACAGCTCAACCAGTTCTGTGCGTGTTTTTAAAAGGTCGAAGTTCTGAGCGCTTGAAAATCAAATCCTTTGGCAAAGACGCCCTTTGCTTCATAAAGACCTGCTTAAAAAATAGCTTCTGTCTTAACAGCTGTGGAGGGCAGTAGGTGAGATGGTCCATCACTGCGCCCCAGTGGCTTGGGGAAGAGGGGGCCAAGATAAAATGGAACTGTGATACTGAATGTTTGGGGGGGGGGGGGGAGGGGGAGGGGGTGAGAAACTGTGAAGAGGTGATGCATCTTTGATTTACTTCTTAAACCTGTTTGCATCCTGGAAAGGCACTATTCGCTCCTGCTTGGCCTTCTGTTACATGTGAGTGGGTAGGGAAAATCCTGCAGCGAGTTTTCTGCTCTCTGCAAGAAGGGCTTGACAAGCCAGCCTGGAAATGCAGGGGATGAGGCTGCAAAGCTCTCTTGAAGTTGCTGCCTTGTCCCTGCTGGCCTCCACGCATCCCCTGCACGCACCAAGCGTTTGCCTTCGGGTGTCACATCTTCCTTTGATGCGACTCAGCAGCACCGAACCGTTCTCTCCGAAGCATTCAATGCTCTGAACCGTGCGTGCTCCCCGGCTTCCAGACAATCCGTGCGCATGCAGCTACGCCTTCTGCTTTTAATTCCCCCCCGTCTTTCCTACGTGTTTCTGTTGGGGGCTGTGGGGACAGCGATCCGAACCTCGGGGTCCGCCGCCCACCCCGCCTGCAGGGCGCTCGCTGTCGGCTGGCGGAGTTCCGCAGCGCCCCCTGGTGGCGCGGAGGGGAAGTGCAGTCCGGGCGAGGGTTGGACGTGCGGTCGGTCGGTCGGTTTGTCGCGATGTTGGTTTTTTCTTTTTTCTTTATTTTTTTGTTTTTCGTTTGAACCTTGACCTTGAAATAAACGGCTGTCCGGAAAGAAACGAGCAAATAAAACAGGTTGTTTTGCGAAATTTCTTTTTATCGCCGCGGGAGCGCGAGCAGCGGGTTTTGGCAGCACGGCGTGGGCTGAGCGACACCCTTGGGTTGGCTCAAAAATGGCACAGTTTTGTTTTTTTTTCCAAAGCCGAAGTGGAAATTGTGGGTTTTCTTCCCCAAGCTGCGGTGCTGGGGAGGCACGGGGCGGCCACACGTGTGGGCAGCAGGCTCAGGGCTGGCAAGGCACAGGCAGCTCGAGCCACAGCCCAGCGAGCTGCCAGCCCCAATGCTGCTGAAGTTTGGGTATGATTTCCCTTAAAAACTGCATGAAATAAAAAGCAGACTAAGAACCTGACTGTTGCAGAAATTCCGAGTGTCTGCAGGTTCAATAGCCTGTATGGATCAAACCCGGAATGTCCACAAATGAGTGCCTTTTACAGGTTGAAAGCTTTACATATATATATTTTTTCTTTTAAAATCCCATTAGAAGCAATTATCTCTGTCTCCCCAATGTCCAGACATGTCCTTTGTTGCTTCTGACTGTGTTGTTATAAACTTGCTGTTGATGTACTTGATGAAACAGCAAAAGAAACGCTTTGGAAATGGTCTGACAGGCATCCCTTGTGGCTCCTTTCCTTGGGCATCATCCCATGGAGCCAAGGCTTAAAGCGTAGCTGGGTCACAGTTTTGCAGGACATCAATTCTGTACCAGGACTGTCTGTAGGTCTGGATGGGAGTTTTGCTGAAGAGAGGAGAACATGGAAAAATCCATGGAATGAATGAGTTTCTCAGAAATGATACTGATGCTGTGTGATAGAAAGAAATTGGGCTTCCTTAAAGCTCCCATTCTTTGAATTATCGTTTTCTGAGTGCGTCATAACATCTGTACTTTTCAAACCCAGTGTGATGGCGTCTCTGGCACTGTGCACATCAGCCCTCTGAATGGTCCTGTGGTCAAAAGCTTTGGCTGTGTTTTATGCAGAGCAGCTCTGCTCACCTCTGTGTGAAGGGTTATTGCTGTGGGGTGGAGAGGAGGAAGGTGGGCTGCCAAAATAACTGTATTATACAGGAGAGC